ATATTTACTTATATATAATATTATAATATAAGATAATTTTTTATATCTTAATATCTTTAGAATTTATTATGAAAAATAATACGATATATAGTTTAATTTTTTAAATTAAATTTAATAAAATAAAAAATTATATTTCTTTATATATTATAATATTATTGTAACTTTAATAAATATGAAATTTAAAATTTATAATTATAGCATTATTCTTTACAACTCCATCACAACTCAACTTCCATAATAAATAACATATAAATCTATCTTCATTCTTTCCTTTAACTATTAACTTTGAATACATTTTTTTTTATTACGTGATTCCTTATATTTATTATTTCCCTTCTCACTTAAAAAAAAATGTATAGAATTCGAGAGAGGGATAAAATCGTTCCACATATTCATTGAAACTTTTATATAATGAAAGGAAAATTCAAAAATGAAAAAAAAAGTGAATTAAATTTTTTATTTTAAATATACAATCTCTTCTTCTTTCCTTACGAAGTGTACCTAATGTTCTATGGCACCACGTTACTTGCAGTTTATATATATATATATATATATATATATATATATATATATATATATATATATATATATATATATATATATATATATATATAAGGATATTCATAATATATTAATATTGTGATAAAGCAATTAATATTAAATTTTATTATAAACATGTACTAATATTGTTTTTATCGTCTTGTTAATCTATAAGTTAGAAATAATGATAATAATAAATATTTTGTTATTTTATATATGGACTGAGAATGCTTGTCCCTCTTTCACTTTGTTATATTGATTCAATCTCTTGTTTATTATTTTTTTATATTTTTCTTAAATAATTATTTTATCACAAGAAATCAAATCAAAAATATTAAATTTATTATATTTTTTTAAATAATAAAAAATATATAAAACAAATTAAAAATGTGAATATATATTTTTTAAAACTATTAAACTATAATATTTATTTAATACAATAAACATATTAATTTTTAAGAAGATTATACTTATGTTATTTATTGAAAATTTTGAATATATTTATATAAAAGATCTAAAGAGTTGAAAACAAAATTCCTCTATAAAATAAAAAATAAAAACTTGCATTTTATGGGCCATGTTCCATTTTCTCGCGTCTTATATAACTTATGAGTAGTGCTGGGCTTATGCGGTACACCGGAGTCTCTACATGGGTACAGCACTATTGGGCCGTAGGCCCAGATCATTTCTTTTTAAATTGGCAACTGTTTGTTCTGTTGAAAAGTTTAAAACGGAATTAATTTTCTAAAGTAATTATTATATTATTTCTATAAAATGAAAAATAATAATTAATATTTTTAAATTTATAATCAATATTCTTTTAACTGCAATATAAAGTTTTGTTAAGAAAATAAAAACTTTTGTTTTTGGTATGCAAAATTTGTAAGCTCCCAAATTTAAAATTAATATATATCATGTAAATTTTATTTAATTTTTTAAATTTTTGAAACCTTGTACATTTATTTCATGTAACATAAATTAACATTGAGTCTTAATATCTTACGTAAATTTATGTCGGTCAAAAATTTAACATAAATTTACTTCTTTTATATTATCATCGATGTTATACTAGACATAAAAAAATCTAAAATAATTTAGGTAAAAGTTCAATTTTACACTCGTGAGAGTTACTTTATCATTTTGCAATTTTATATTTAAAAATTGAAAAATGTTTTATTTTCTTTTCATAATTATCAACTATTGCATAATGCTTACGAGGATTTTCCACCTCTAATTAAGCCCCTAATTGAAAGCAATCTGAAAGGGAGTTTATTCTTTGTTTCACTACAATGACACAAGACCTTGCTCATGAACCCTGAATTGATGATGAAGATGGTAATTATGGATTTAAAAAATGTGAATGATTGTGTGTTTGTTCCCCACAATGGAAAAAAAAGAGAAGGTTAAATGATGATTTCTCCTTCAACCAATGAACCTTCTTGGAATAGAAAGCTTTAATAGATTAGTCTTTGAAAAACACTTAAAGTAGTTTGTCGGGCACGTATTAAAAACAAAGACTTGAGATTTGAAAAGTAGTCATAAATTTATTTTTTAAAATGATACTTTTATTAACCCTATCTTTTTCACTACTACAAATAAAGCTTTCAACGTCGGTTAAACCGACGTTGTATCAGGCTCGCAACTTTCAACGTCGGTTCTAATAAACTGACGTTGAAAGTATGATTTTTTAAATTAATAATTTTTATTTATTTACAACCCCTTTACCCCCTTTTATTTATCTAGAAGTCTCCCTCTCTTCATATTATATTTTTATTAGGTCCTCCATCTCTTTATATTATATTTTTTAGAAGTTTTTTAATTTTTAAGAGAATTGTCATTGGCAAGATTCGAACCCAGGATCTTTAGAGTTGGAGGTCGATACTCCAACCACTAAACTACTTGAATTTTTTGATAATAACATACAAATAAATTATATTTATATACAAATAAATATATATCCGTGTAAATATCACTTGTAGAAATCCAACCCGAGTGACCTTGAATCTCAAATCCGATTCCAGCTTCGAAGATCTTTAACCCGAGCATGCATGACCCGACCTCAAGCTTGAAATCCAACCCAGTGACCTTGAATCTCAAATCGAGTGACCAAAACACCCAATCAAAACCCAAGCAACTTCGAATCTCAACCCCGACCTCAACCTCGACGAACTCGAGGCCGAACCCCAACTCCGGCGACATCGAACCCCAATGTCAAGCCAAACCCAATTGTCATGCTGTGAAACCCAACGCAAACCCAGCGGAGCTCGAACCCTAACGCATACCCTAGTGACGTCGAACTCTAACCTCGAGCCAACCCCCACTTTAATTCGGTCGCAATTAGCGATTGATTGATTGCTCAAGGATGTGTAAAAGATGATATATTCAATGTATGTTAAAAAAGTTCAAGCCAAACTATTTTTATAGAAGATTTTCAAAACTGCTGGTTTAATTAATCTGTTAAAAGATTCTTTTAATCTGTTAAAAGTGCAGTTTTAATCTGTTAAAACTTCTTTTAATCCATTAATACGTTCTTGATTCTTTAACAGATTTGTTTTAACCGATACTGACAATGTTTATATCAATTAAAACACTTTACAAAAAATCTTCTAAGTTGATTTAATCGATTGTTTCGCGATTCAATCGATTGAAATACTGCAAAACTTTCTCGTAAAACTTTTCAAGTTATTTTAACTGATAAAAACAAGTTTTAATCGATTAAAACGCTGTGTAGAAATTGTTTTAATCGATTGAAACGAGATTTAATCGATTAAAATAGTTCTGATCGGTCATAACTGCATTCTGATCGATCATAATTGAAACAATATAATAGCGGTTCCAGGTTAACCGCTATCTAAAATGTTTTTCGCTTGAGCGACACTCTTCTCGCTCGAGCGAAACGCCCCCTACACAAAATTGGCATTCTCGGGTTGTATTTCGCTTGAGCGACACTACTCTCGCTCGAGCGAAATAAGATTCTGATCGATCATAACTTGAAATGATCGATCATAATTGAGAGGATATAATAGCGGTTCCCTTATAACCGCTATCTAAAGTGTACTTTAGATAGCGGTTCCCTTAGAACCGCTATCTAAAGTGTATATTAGATAGCGGTTCCCATATAACCGCTATCTAAAGTGTATATTAGATAGCGGTTCCCTCATAACCGCTATCTAAAGGGTATATTAGATAGCGGTTCTCTTATAACCGCTATCTAAAGTCTGTGAGTTTTTGGCTGCCTCCAGTTAATAAAAAGACTTTCCACGTCGGTTGTTCCCTGAACCGACGTGGAAAGTGTCAATAAGTAAAAAATAAAAATAAAAAAAGACTTTCTACGTCGGTTGACTAAGAACCGACGTAGAATGTGTTTAATATGCACTTTCAACGTCGGTTCTCAGATGAACCGACGTTGAAAGTACTTTCTACGTCGGTTCTCAGATTAAAAGTGGAAAGTACTTTCTACGTCGTCTCAGCTTATAACCGACGTTAAATAACGACGTAGAAAGTATATTTTGTAGTAGTGTTTGTGGATATTCTTCTTAATTATATTTCAAAAATAAAATAATTTTGAAAAAAATTATCTTACTTATCAAATTATATTTTAAGAAAATAATAATAGATAACTATCAGAATAATTTGTTTCAAGATAACTGAAAATAGAAGTAAAAATGTTGCATGGTAATAATTTATATCTAATTGTTTTCCTAAAGTTTACCTAAAACATGCATTGTGATGTGCACTCAAAATAAATAAATATATATATATATATATATATATATTATTTACTTTAAATATTTATATATTATATTATTTTTATGTATAGATATATAGATAAATAATGGTTAAAAAAATTAATCAGTGGAGACGAAGACCCTTCACCTCATTTCGTTTCTTATTGTAGAAAAGGATCCAAAACCTTTCTTAAAACTATTTAATGTTAATTATTAGATAAATTTTACTAGAGTAGGTGACTTGGTATAAATTGGATTTGGAAGAAAAAAAAATTCAACTAATCATTTTTATTGGTTTGAATTAAAAAGCAAATCAAAATCCAGAGAAATCAACTTATCATAAATGATTTAGTTGGATTTGGATTAATTAAATCAATTAGATGTAAATAATATATATATATATATATATATATATATATATATATATATATAATTGTTTAAAAATTCGTAGATAGTTTTATTATTGAAAAAAATTAAATAACATTTAAGCAAATATCTAAACCAATTTAAATTTTGATTTAGATTCTTGAGTTGATGCAAACATCCCTGAATTGTATTATATAATATCAAATTTAATTTGATATTAGTCCATTTATAAGGTTTGACGCAACCCATTATATTATATATTATGATGTTTTGGTGGTGATACCAACAACCATGTGCCATTGTGTGCGACTGCATCAAACTCAACTCAGATGACTTGTCTCCAATCATCATATTGCATGACCTCTCTCACTCATATGCTTCAAGTTTCTCATTTGAAACACTCAACCCAGTTTTTGGTTTCTGCATGTTATTCTTCGACCACACCATAGGGCGCTTTCTCACCAATAGAATTCTCAACCAGATTCTAAGTTGTAGGTAAATTTATATTCGAAGGGATTGATGAGATACTAACATGTTAGAAATTGAAATTTTTTTAGATACTTTAATATTACATTTGATATTTTTTACGGTATTTGTTTTTAATGTATTTTTAACTTGATATTGAGTGTTAAAATAGGATGAATATGTTTGAAAAATTTGAAAAATAAGTTAAATAAGACTAAAATATTTATAACATAAATGGAATTAATCTTATCTATTCATGTCATAAGATTAATTTATAAGTTAATAGTCAAAGATTAATTTATAAGTTTATAGACCTGTTTAATTTTTATAATAATAATTATTTTTTAAATACAATAAAAATAATATTATTTTATTAAAATTACATATTAATGTGATAAAAAATTCATTTATTCTAATAATAAATACCATAATACATCTCTAACTACTACTTGAATTAAATATTTTTTAATTAATTGATTTTGTATAAATATACTAATATTTTTTTAAAATTTAATTAAGTTAAAATTAGTGTATTAGTGTAGTGACTTAATATAGGATCAAATTAAATTATATTTTTTGTCTATTTTAAAATATAAATTAAGCTTATTAATTTTTTTTAATTAGAATGGACTAGACTAAACTGAATTACCTATTTTAATAACTAATTTTTATTTTTATGGGAGTGTTTGTTGCCTAGTTAGTCAATACGTAAAAGAAATAATAATCTTTATTTTGTAAACGTTTACTTATTTTATTTTTTCTACCAATTAATCAAAACAATTTATATTAATATATTTATTTCCTACTACATTCAGATAATGAGATGATATCTGTTTCTTTTTTCTTTGTGCACTTACAAACTTATTTTTCAATCCAACAACCAAACATGCTTTAAAAAAAAAAAGGACAAAAACAAGGTAACATAAACTCCCTACAACTATTGTTCATTCATAGGTATTTTCTACACATGTGAACAACACGTGCCTGCACTAATGAGTGGCATGGCAACCATACATAAAAGAAAGAAAAAAAAAAACACAAAAATGGATTGGATCATTGCAACAACATGTGAAGGTCCATTCTGAAAAATGTGCAACACAACACATTCATGGTAGTGACAGATAATGACGTTACGTTTCATTCATTTCTTCATTATATAATAATACATATTCACTAGCTTTAAAAATGAATGCCCCATGCCACCATCAATGTGGTAGGGATAGAGACTTTGAAGAATGACCCTTTTTCTGCGGCACAAAGTGTGAGTACATGTACATTGACATGGTGCAATGGTTTTTGCACAATTAAAGACTAATCTTTATCCCTATTTTTAGATGGCCCAATTGCATAAGGACCGTGGGGCACATGGACCTAAATTCACTTCAGGGTTGGTAATTTGTAACAAGCAATAAATAAAGTATTAATAAGCAGTGTGGTCCACCTTAAGTACCCTCAAACATTAGTGGGATAGATGCATTGTTTTAACTTGTTTATCTTGAAAAGAATAGTATGAGGGTTTTCTTTTTGTCAATACTTTGGTTGGCTTTGTTTTGGTTTGTTGAACTAAAATCTTATTGATAGTGGCATGCCTAAGTCAAAAAGTAAGAACCATCTACATGTTTAGACTTTAGAATTGGGTCCATTAATGTGAACATGTTTATATATCTTAATAGATATTTTTCATAAATAAAATTTATAGATTTTTAATTGCATGTCTAAGAAACAAAATTATCTGAAATGCTATAGTGTCATATAAACCTAGTATTCTTTATTTGCTTATGCATGGGTGAGGGAGTTCCTCTCAGCACAGAGATAGCACGTTCTATGAAAAAAAAAAAAAAAAAATACAATAATGCTTTGATCATAAGCTCCATTAAAGTATCATTAGTTATTACAAAAGAGAAGAAGAACGGTCGACCTAAAGTAGCAAACAGGAAAATTTTTGTTGAAATTCCTTTGATTCTCTGTAACACTTTTTATTTGTTTATTTATATTTTGATGTTCATACTTTGGTACACATACAAACATAGCCTCTCTGATTCATACTTGTGAAGAGAGAAAGGAAAAGAAAAGAAATGATTTTAGTCTGAGATTGTGTGAGGGAAAAGTATATGTGAGAAACAGTTAGCAGAAGTTACTGGTGCAATGGCAGCTTTATTATGTTGCTTGGGAAGAGAATGAAGCAGAAGTTGTAGAATTAGAAGTGGCAGCATAAAAGTGAGTGAAGAATCATGTTACAAGCAAACAACTACGTAAGGTATCTCTTACCATGTCATGTCCACACAATATGATGTTTCTCTCTCCCATGTTTTTCATTGAATGCATACTTATAAGCCAATAGCATCTTTTTCAAGTGCTTTCATTTCAACTCATGGAAAGTTAGTTTTGCAAATAGTTCATCATATTATGCACATGAACCTTAGATTTTCCACAATTTAGTGGACTTTTTCAAAAGTAATTTAACTACTCTTTACATAATTCGTAGAAGCATTATGAAATAGTTATGCATTTTACACATTTAATTTTTAATGTAAATATATATATATCTAATTATTTTAAATTATACCGAATTACGAGATGATATTTCTAATAATTTAACTCTAACGAAAATAATTTTAATCCATAATAAAAAAATTAAGTTTTGATTTTAATTAAAAATAATAAAATATCTAACTTAATTTTATAAAATTGATTTAATGAGATTATATTTATTATATATATTAATATTATTTATATATTATAATATTATCGGATTTTAATGGAAGGAAACTGCATCAAACCTTTCCTTTTAAAAAAAATATTTTTCATGGTTACTCCTATTTTTTAAGAGATAATTTTATTATACACTTCGAATAATACTGGGTTTCGCTTGGTGATCACTTGTTCACTATTTTCTTTTTAATAATAACCCGATTTGAATGATTTGATGTGATGAATACTAAGAATTAACTTGTCCTAACTAATAATGGCAAATAGGACATGCATGATCCTTCTCTCTGATAATTGTTCTTTTGTGAGAGTATACAGTGATGGTATGAAGCAAGAAAGAGACGTTATTTGTCATTTATGGGACAGCTCAATTATATTAAAATATTTAAATAATATTTATTATTAATTTGTCAATTTGTTAGTGTGGAATCGAGAAGTCTGATCGAGAAATAAATCGAAAGGGAACTTTCCTGATGTCCAATTATAAAGGATGTGACACATAAAATCAAAAGGTAAAATCGGAAGAGTAGGTAATAGTCGAAAGCTTAACATGGAGTTAAGGTTAAAATAAATCGATACCAGGTGTGCAAAGTTCTCGATTAAATCGAAGGGAAGGCTCGTTTTCGTAGATATCATATCCTCGGTTAAACCTTGAAAGAAAGTAGTCAAAACGCACGTACGGAAAGCAGTTTCTAAGTGATGGAAAAGTTGAAGATCGTGAGAGCATGGGAAAACTGTAAAAAGAAACTGTCATACGCACGAAGAACGTGGTAGCAGTCTCGTTAACTGCTCTAAGGAAGCTTGAACAACGCCCTATAAATAGAACAAAGAAAGAAGAAACGAGGGGAGCAGAAATTGGCAGAGAACAGAATCAGTAGTGAAAAGTCTACCGGAGAAACGACGAACACCATGAAGCTTCTGGCAATCTGGATTTCCTTGCTCACTGAGTACATTTATCGCTTTCTGTATTTTCCTTGGTAATTTACTTTCGAACCATTTCAATTCAGAAATTTCATATTCTTGTATATTACATTCAATGTCATTTCGATTTCCTGTTATTTACTGTTTATGCAATCTTAATGGGTTTTAGCAATTTACATTTCCCGCACACTTCGATTTCCTGTTATTTACTGTCTATGCAATCTTAATGGGATATAGCAATTTACATTTCCCGCACATTTCGATTTCCTGTCCTTTATTTATCTTGCAAACTTAATTTCTTGCAAATCTGGGGTTTTCGCACTTTACATTTCCTCGCAATTTGACATTCTGCTTTTTCGATTCGATAGTCTTAATGTTTTCGATACTTTAAATACAAAACACCAAAAACAACATTTTCGATATCTTGTGGTTTTCGATTCTCACACACGTTTTCGATTGAAAATCAAATTGCTAGCCTAAATAAAAAGAACTTACGTGGTAGAATTTTGATTAGGACCAAAACATCCTTAGGATCGAAATCGATCAAAATTCCACCAGAAACAAATTGGCGCGCCAGGTAGGGGTACTTGTGTTGAAAAAACACAAAAGAGGTTAGTTCGAGAGTGTATGAGATTAAGAAGTGGGAGAGTTATAAGAATGAGTCAGAATTCATCAAGTAGTCAGAATAACAATGAGGGTCTAAGTGGTGTGCTCCCACCAAATACTGGGGGGCAAGGGCATAATGGGAGTATGCCTGTAGTATCGACAACTGTGAGCATGTCTATACCAGCAAGTAATGAACAAAATCCAGGTCCATTGGCAAACACCCATGTAGGGTCTAGTATAGCAATATCAAATAATATGCAAACTATGGGAAACCCCATAACCACATATGCAGGGCCATATACTAGTGTAAGACCACCTGGTTTTTTATCCAATAACACGAATGGAACTGGCACTTCATCGATACATAGAAATTCACGATTCAGCTTAGGAATGCCTCCAAACGTAGGTACATTTCAAACCCTAGGCATGCCACAAAACTTTGGAGTATCTACACATTTAGGGGTATCTCAAAATTCAGTGACATCACAAAATTCAGGGAATGGACCAAACTTAGGGATACAACAGACACCTCCAAATCTAGATCCTAGGGAGAATCTCGATCATGGGAGATATGCATTTGATAGGGACTATCATCGATCTAATTTCGAGAATATCGAAAATACTAATACTGGGATTTCCAGTAACTCCCTAGGAATACTTAGACAACAAATGGATGAGAGTAATTTTGAAATGGTGAATATGTTATCACAGCAGTTGACTACGGTCTTAAACCCATTAGTTCAAAATACTACTACTAGTTTCGAGATATTAGCGGATCAAATGTCTCGAATTGGAGACGCATAGGCTATACCTCGACAAACGAGGATTGAGAATCATGCCAATCAGAATATTAATCCCCCTTATTTATTAAGAAGGAATCGGAACAATGATCAATATCAGCAAATGGGGAACGAATATCAACATGTGAGGAATGATATTTACGGAAATCTGAATGAGGGATTTCAAAATATTCATAACCAGAATAATACGCAATATAATCACATGTTAGGACAAAGGATGAATTTCCAAGGGACGGATTTAAGACCACCCAATCAGACATATTTTGTGTCTCCTTTTCCAAATGCGATTCTCGAGACAGAGTTGTCTCGAGGATACAAAGTACCCAAATTCACTAAATTTACTGGAGAAGTTGGTGAATCAACTATCGAGCATGTAGCCCGATATCAGATAGAGTGTGGGGACTTAGCAATGAGTGAAGAGTTAAAAATGAAGTATTTCCCTAGTTCCTTGACTAAGAATGCTTTTACTTGGTTTACTTCATTGCCACCCAATTCGATATATAATTGGTTGCAGTTAGAAAGAAATTTTCATGAACAATTCTTTAGAGGAGAAACCCAAGTAAGTCTCATTGATTTGATGAATATAAAACGATATAATCATGAAAACATAGATGATTATCTGAATCGATTTAGACAAATGAAATCAAGATGTTTTACTCAAATTCCTGAATACGAATTAGTCAGGATGGCTTCTGCAGGTTTAGAATTCTCGATTAGGAAAAAGTTGGTAAATTTGCCATTAAATGACATGGCTCGAGTTAGGCGATAAAGTGAGGAGAGTGGAACAAATCGAGTATGAGAAGCAAAGGCACAAGAAATTTGAGAAACACTGTGAAAAAAGAAAGAATAGCCTATATAAATGATGTGTATGAAGTAGATCCCTCGACGAAGCCGATATCGAGGAAAATGTTGATGAGAAAGTGAATATAGCGAGCTCAAAGTAGGAGCTCCATATACTTGTAAATTGTTGCAAAAGAATGAAGTGAAAGATAAAATGGCAAATCGAACCTATACTTTCGATGTAACAAAAGCAGATAAGATCTTCGACATTCTACTGAAAGATAAACAGATTAAGTTAAACGAAGATCACAAACTACCTTCTGCAGAACAAAGGGGTGGTCGAAAATATTGTAAATTTCATAATATTTATGGACACTGGACTAACAATTGTATACATTTCAGGAACACGATTCAAGATGCAATCGACCAAGGAAGACTGAAGTTTGGAGAGATAGCAATGAAAGTGGACACGAGTCCGTTCGAAGTCCAAGTGGGATATATTGAATCCCAAACTGAGATGAAGGATGACATTAGACTGATGAATGCCACCTTCATAGGCATGGTCGATGTTACTGAAGACATCGATCCCAAGCATATCAGAATGGACGTATCGGAGGAAGATATGGAGTTCGACTTGAGCGAATTCGAAAAAGAATTTGAGAAAGAGATATACCCTCGAGCAGGAGACTCTCTCGTTGAATTTTTGAATAGGAAGAAAGAGAAAAACGAAGACGTGTCGCTATGCCCACGGTGCAGTGCGGTTTTCGATAAATCAGCTGCCAAAGCTTTCAAAATTGAACAAACAAAGAAGATCGAGAGTCAAAACAAAAGGAAAAATGATAAAGTGGAGCAAACGGCCCGACCAATTATCGAAGAAAGTCAACAGAAATCTGTTGGCTCTGGTGTTAGCGGGAATCAAAGGCAATGGGTTAGAAGAGAGATGTATCCCTCTCAAGGAGGAAGAGGAAGACTTCAAAGTAGTGATGTCTTCGAGAGACTATCATAC